AAATGTGTGCCAGCTTGTGCTCTAAAAGTATCATTCTCTGATTAAATACTGCTTAAGCTGAATTCATGCAATACTGCCTGTGTCTCTAAAAGGGCGCAGACATGGCAGCTTAGAAGTGGGTGGGAATCAAGCAATATTTACAGAATATACACGCTTTTTGCAACTTCTTCACAGGGTCTGAATCTGCTGACGTACCACCCTGACCAGAAGCACAAGCTTCATTACTGAGAGCGGCAGTCTGTGCCTCAGACTCCGCTTTAATGCCATCTAAATATCACTGAGCCCCCCGACAGTCACTTTCCCCACCGGGATAAGCAGCTGTCTGTAATATTCCCCCGTGGACAACAACCAGTGGCGAAATATGTTGATTACTCACGGCAGGGGTAACTAATGGCATCTGAGGTGATACATTACTGTTAAACTTTGTCTCCCAGCTCCCTTTATGCAGAGGAGCCAGAGAGGGAGAGGGGGTGAGACAGTCTGTGAGTGACCTTTAGCTTGTTGCAGGCTGTTACCTACGTCTCTATGTGTGTGTGTCACTGGAGAGAATAGCAGGCATGTGTGGTTCATTTACGCTGGCTGTAGTTTTCTGAATTTTTTCAAATTCAGCCAAAAAGCAGAGACAGTCTTGAAGAAATGTCTCACAGTGTTTAAGTTTAGCTTCTGTTTTGTGTTTCTGTAATAATGACACTCTACTATGGCACAAACGTGCCTTGGCAGCTGACAGGGCTGCCTGTTTAACATACAATCTTAGAGCTCCCTCTTCTGGGGGAACTTCATCATAAGTATTGAACATACCTTTTTCACACATTTTTTCAGACCATAATACCACTCGCTGCGTTTCACTACCGTGTTGACTTGGATGCAATGTGCCCAACCATTTGTTTAACAGCTGATACAAAATAGTACCTAGTGAGCCAGGTTTGCATTTCTGCCAGTCCTGAATAATATTACAATCAGCCATATTGAAGGATATTATGCCACACGTGACGCTGCCTGTTATGAGAGATCTTAGCCCAGTGAAAAACGGCCGAACTGCGAAGCTCCTACACCAGACTAATCCTGGTGCGCGCAGTTCCTGGGGGTTATTTCCCAGCCGATTGACACCGTTTTATCTCATAAGGACAGCCGCCACCCTAAGGCTAATATACAGTTCCCAGTAAGCTGTTCCACCCGGACCGAATACAGAGCTGCACAAGGCGCGTTGAATCACAGCGAATTTTCAGAACCAAACCTATTTGTCCGGCTCTGATACGACAGTGAACAACGTTTAATCAGCCTGTTATGCAGTTAACCACCCCCACATTTCCATGGAAAACAACAAACTGGCCATTTCCCTGTGCCGTTTATTACTCTTGGGATTTATCAGAGATCATCTATTCAGCCAAGATGACTCTCTGCCTGTTCTCCAACCGGAGGCAAATCAAAAAGGAATCAGACAATTTGGGGAAACAACTGCTATTAGGTAGCAGAAATTCACTTATAAAACGTGATTTTTACGTCCCTTATTGGTATCAAATTCTGTAATCAGCGGCACTCATTCTCTATCCCTCAAAGTGAGATTATGTGCTTATTAACTCTTACATGTGTCAGGGAACAGATCAGCACATCATTTCAAAAACAAATGTGCTTTATTATCCTTACTGTTTTGAATCCAATTTAAAATGTGCAGAGTGGGCAGTCCACACATCAACAAAATTTGGTAAAATTCAATGTGCGGGTGTTTATGTGTAAACAAAGGTTCCTGCCTTACCTCATTTCTGGTCGACCAGTTGATGTGTGGGACCGCAGCACAGCTTTGACAGAGACCCAGGAAGTCCTTGGAATCCCAGCCAATTTAGGACTGAATGTTGGAATGTTGGATTTACAGCTCAGCCAGACATGGATTACAGCACCATGTGTTGGTCCGGGACAATGGACTGGTACTCTGAGAGTTCAGCCGGCTCACAAGGTCACGGCACCAATTGTTGGCGACCCAGTTCTTTTCACCATTAACTCTGAGAGACGAAGCAGTCCAAGTAACTTCAGAACAGTGCTGATTTATTCAATGATCACAGGTAAAATTAACATTACACGCTCAGGAGTCTTTGCACCTCCAACATGCACGCAGGCAGCTGGTAGATGGACAAAGTGTCACGGCAAGCCGCACACCAAAACAGCGACTGGACTCAGTAATAGCCAAGACTCAAACTCAGGTCAGAGAAAGATATTTATTTGACAGAGTATGGAAAGGAAAGGAGGTGGCGAGGATCAGACGCGGAGCTGCCGGCGTGGGTCTTGGGTGATAGGGCCGCAGAAATGACTGGACCACTGGAGGAGCTGCCCGGGGGTCGAAGGAGAGGTTTTGGCACTGCGTATAGAGCAGAGAAGGAGATTAAGAGAGGAGACAATAGGCAGATGAGGGTG